CAGGGATCCCTGACCGATTCTCAGGCTCCAACTCGGGGAACACGGCCACCCTGACCATCAGCGGGGCCCGGGCCGAGGACGAGGCTGACTATTACTGTCTGGCGTGGGACAGCAGTGCTAAAGCTCACGGTGACACAGGCAGTTGGGGAAGTGAGACACAAACCCTCCTACCCTGGCCTGACACTCTCACCAGCTGTCTGAGCAGCTGTAGGCCTGAGGGCCAGGCATCCTCTCTGGTCCCAGCTCCGACCCTCCAGGGTTAGGACACTCCAGCAGGTTCTTTGCCCTCTCGGGGCCTCTGTTTACCCTGCTGAGAAATGGCAGGTGGGGGTCTGTTTTGAGTCACAGAGGCTGTTGTCAGTGCCCTGTGGGTGCAGAGGTCCCCCTACTAGCTGAGCCTTGGGACTGCCTTGTCCCCTCTCCAGGCTTAGCGCCTCACTCAATTCTCTCAGGAGTGATCAGAAGAGTCAAGATACTGGAAGGAAAGGGCACAGCTCCTAGCTGCCCCCCAACTCATGGTGGTCCTGCTTGTTAGTTTATGTGATCACCCTGTGCTGAGACCCAGGACTTTTATGCATTAGAGAAGAGCCTCCTTGGGGGAGGGGGACAGGGCCTGCAGCAGAGCCCTCCAAAAGAATTGAGGTTCACACTCCCTGCTGCTTTGTAAGTAGACATGTAAAGTTTTCTCCCGAAGTTTGTAAAACGGTCTCAACGTTCCTCTATATATATAGAATGAAAGTGAGTATCATCATGATTGGATGCCCACTCTTTTATTTTTTTATTTTTTTAAGATTTTATTTATTTATTTGATAGAGAGAGACAAAGTGAGAGAAGGAACACAAGCAGAGGGAGTCGGAGAGGGAGAAGCAGGCTTCCCGCTGAACAGGGAGCCCAATGCGGAGCTCAATCCCAGGACTCTGGGATCATGACCTGAGCCGAAGGCAGACGCTTAACGACTGAGCCACCGAGACACCCCAACCCACTGTTTTTTATCTTTAAATTTTTTTATTGTTATGTTAATCACCATATATTACATCATTAGTTCTTGATGTAGTGTTCCATGATTCATTGTTTGTGCATAACACCCAGTGCTCCACGCAGAACGTGCCCTCCTTAATGCCCATCACCAGGCTAACCCATCCCCCCACCCCCCTCCCCTTTAGAACCCTCGGTTTGTTTTTCAGAGTCCATCGTCTCTCATGGTTCGTCTCCCCCTCCAATTTACTCCCCTTCATTCTTCCCCTCCTGCTATCTTCTTCTTTTTTTTTCTTAACATATATTGCATTATTTGTTTCAGAAGTACAGATCTGTGATTCAACAGTCTTGCACAATTCACAGCGCTCACCATAGCACATACCCTCCCCAATGTCTATCACCCGGCCACCCCATCCCTCCCAACCCCCACCACTCCAGCAACCCTCAGTTTGTTTCCTGAGATTAAGAATTCCTCATATCAGTGAGGTCATATGATATATATCTTTCTCTGATTGACTTATTTCACTTAGCATAACACCCTCCAGTTCCAACCACGTCATTGCAAATGGCAAGATTTCATTCCTTTTGATGGCTGCATAATATTCCATTGTATATATATCTACCACATCTTCTTTATCCATTCATCTGTCGATGGACGTCTTGGCTCTTTCCACAGTTTGGCTATTGTGGACGTTGCTGCTATAAACATTGGGGTGCACGTGCCCCTTCGGATCCCTACATTTGTATCTTTACCAACCCACTCTTTTTTAAAATTCTTCTCTAACATTTGGAAATTTTCCATCTTTCTTCTCTCATCTTGAACTTTGTTTTCACTCCACACCCCTCATTGAATTTGATCTGCTCATACACTTTTACACCTGAGTCTTTTATTCATTATCCTGCCATACATCTCTGTCCTAAAAATATACATTGTTTACATTCTAAAATTTAGTTTCATAGCCTGTGACCTTGAGCGTTAAATTATTTTCTGCCACACTGAGTTGGCATCTTAATTATTCATAGCAGTATGTGATCAAAACTACATAAACATATTAAAATTTACATAGATAATCATTAAATGGTGTTGATTTGTGGATCCATTGATGAATATAATGTCCTGCCAGAATGAAGCAAGGTCTTGCATCTATTCTGTTCTGGCTTTCATTTTTATATGAAACTCAAAGAAACCTTGACCTCATAAACAGAAGTTTTGTGATAGACTTTCGCTCACAAATCTGAGCTTCTTCCTAATTATGTGCCAAAAATCATTAGTGGTTAATGCTCAAAAATTATTTTTTTCAATGACCTATCAGCTGGCAGCTCTACCTCATATACTTTTAATTTTGCTGAAAGCAAAGAATTGGAAACCTCCTGCCTTTGAGAGGATTTGAACTGGTAGACAGTTTGATGCACCACCAGACCCTTTCTGGAATGAAGGGCTTATTGCCCCATCTGCTGGGAAAGGCACACACAGACAGCCCTGCCCTCATCTGTCAGCTCCCTTGATGAAGAGAGCCACCTGGAGCTGAGCCAAGGTCCTCCCCTGGGCAGCTGGCCTCTGAAAGCTGATCAGCGTGAGAGTCTGAAGACCCAGCCTCTCGGCCCACTTTGGGAAGCTGAGAAGGACCATCCCAACAGCAAAGCTCCACTATAGCTGATTCCTCCCTCCGCCCACCCTGCTCCACCCCTCCCCATCGCTTGCACATGGGTTGGTCCCAAACACTCTCCCTGTAAAGCTCCTGCAGTCTGGCTCCATCCCAGAATCAGCTGCACGGGGGGTGGGGGGGGTGGGAGTGTCACCCAGCCATTTGTCATCCACTTTCTCAGATTCATATCAGGGATATGCGCCAAGGAACTTGACTGGAAGTTACTAAGAGACCCCTTGTGCATGATAGAGTTTAAAAGATTGGGAAAAAATTAAAATATCTGTAATCATCGTGCATCTTCGCAAATACAATATTTTTTTTTGAGAAACATGCTTTCATCTTCTCATGTGCTTCAGGTATATTTTTCCTCCAAAACTTGGTGTTGCCGATTTGAACCATTCAATCCAGGGAGAAGCGCCACTGTGTAATCTAATTGGCAAAGCCAGTCCTCACTGTCAAAGATACTATTCAGATGTGCTTCTGTTAGTAACCGTCCGGCTCTATTTGTCAACAAAAGTAAACATCCGGGTGGGTATTTGGGAGAATATTATAAAATCAGTGAAAATCAAAGGATGTGTCTGGAGAGAAGGTCCAGCAATAAAATGATGTCGATATTATGTGATTATCTATCTTATAATAACTTTTTATAAACAAGATAGGTCGCTATAAAAACAGAGCTCCGCTATGCAAATGTCAACCCACTTGGTCAGTTGAGGCTGGAACCTCAGAGCGCTGGCCACTCCCACTCCAGAACCCCGCCCCCCGCCTAACTTCCCCGCCCCCAACAGGTTTCCCGGAGTTCCAGACACAGCCAGGACTAGTGGGAGCAGAGTAAGACACTGTCGTGGCGTGTAAAATTTAAGGGAGGAGCCCAAAACTCAGTAATCAAGATAAATAATATCTAATGCAATATTTTTTGAAATCGCAATGAATGCAGAATTCCATGATGAATAGAACATCAAAACTATAAGTCAGGTCAGGATCCTACCCTGCACTGGAGTGATTCAATTCACTCGCCTCCCCCCACCAGGTGGTGGTTCCAGGGGTGAGGTGGGCGCCAGGGAAGATGCAGAACCAGAGTCCAGCCTCTGCATCCTCCCACGTGCCCCCACTGCTGGAGCCTTTCCCTGGCCTCCCGCCAACCCCTCCAGAGCTCCAGCCTTTTCTGGGGTTTAGTCTCCTTCTACTGCTGGTCTCTGCTGCCCCCTATTGAACTGTCCTCTTGGCGCTGCACTACAGGCGGCCGGATTGGAAGCCTTAGAGGTTAAAGCACTGAAATGTTCCAAAGCACCCCCACCCCTCAGTTCCAGGCTGGCCCCACCTCGTGTGCAAAAAAAGGCGTCATCAACAAACCATGTTCTGGAGCCATGCCAGAGCCAGGCCTCTGCACAGAATGCTTGAACATCGATTTCCTCATCCTCAAACAAGCAAGACGATCTCAGCCCAGGCGGCAGCCAGCCCCGTCGCCTGCGGTCAGTCTGATTGCGTTACATACTATATTGCTGGGCTTTCCAACGGACCCCAACCCAAAGCACCTGTGCGGCCCATCCCTCCTGCCCCCCTGCCCAACAGAACCCAAACCTTGGCTCCCTTGCAAGCAAGGCATGAGCCTTCCAGGTGGACAGAGAGCTGCAATGCAGGGGACAAGCTCACTCCTAGATTCTCGCTCACCCTGCAGCCCACTCCCAGAGGGACCTTGGCCCCTGCATTTATTTTCTCTGGACTTTACTGTTTTCACCTGTAAAGCAAGCACACCTGCCCCCAGGACATGCCAACAGTTGCTCTAAAGCCCAAAGTCCGAGGGGCTAGCAGTGGATACCTGCTACATCCGGGGCTTGGCATTCACACGCTCTCATTCATCTTCATGACTGCCCTGCTGCAGAGGAACTGTGTCCATTTTACAGATGAGGAAACTGAGGCACAGAAGTGACCTAGGTCTGGAAGGTTTCAACATTCTTGAGCCTGCTGTTACTCTTTGAGTGAAGGATATAGAATCACTCTCTGCAGGGCCCTTGCCTGGCTGCGAAGCTGAAATGATCACAGGGGAAACAGCCAGGCTTGACCAAAGCCGCCAAGGAAGTGGAGTGTGCAAGGACCAGCCTGGGGGACTGGTCAGAAGAGAAGCCCTAGCTCCAGCCCCACCCCAAGGAATCAGGCCTTTGTGATTCCTGATCCACTAGGCAGTCAGCTGCTCCCTGTGGCCCCTTCAAGCCCCAGGGAGATGCTCGACAGATCTGGGACACTCTTGGGGAAGAGGGAAATAAGGCAGGTCAGGTATGCCCCACCCAGGGCCCCAGAGGCAGGGACTGTGGGCGGACTTCAGTGGGAGGAGGTGGAGCCCAGGATCGGACCACAGCAGGGCAGTTAGCAGATGTCATTCTGAGGGAGACCCCCAGGGGTAACAGCCATGGGCCCTGGAGAGGGCTGGGCACTGGGTGCAGGGACCAGAGAAGGTCCAGGCAGAAGACAGGGCCACGTGGGCCAGGCATACTGGGACAGCTGCTGCCAGCAAGAGGGACTGGGGGCCCCTCTCCAGGAAGTTCAAGCGGAGCTTCCACCCTGAGGGCAGATGAGGCCCAAGACTGGCCAAGTGCACTGTGAGGCCCCCCAGGGGGACAGAGCCCTGACCGAGGCAGTGCCGGCCCCTACTGCTACTAAGCCTAGCCATGGGTGCCCATGGCCCACTGTCCCCAACGCAGCACCACTGAGCAGAGCCCCAGCAGGAAGGAGCCTATCCAGCTTTCGAAGCCCATGAGACAGGTAAGGAGCCAAAAGAGTCATGGTGGGAATATGTGGAGCTCCCTGAGGTGGGAGCCAGGAGTGGGCATCTGAGGAGAAGAGCAGCAGTGACAGGAAGAGGGTGAAGGAAGAATCAGCCAGAGAGAAGGGGCGGGGGCAGACCCTGGCTGTATTTAAAGTGTTGATATTTGTCCTGTGTGGATTTTTTTTTGCATTGATTTTTAGCTTTTAATATGGTATGAAATATGATTTATCTTGATGACTGAATTATTAGCACCCCTTAAATTTTGCACTAGTACCACCCTTGTCTCACCCTTGTCCTCTGGGTAGGACAGAAACAGGGAGGCAGGAGCAGGTTGTGCCCACAGGCACTAACTGCTTTAGGGGCAGAACATCTCTCTCTGTAGCCCAAGTCAGATCCTGCTGTTATCCCCATCTTGCAGAGGAAGACAGAGGTTCAGAGAGGTAAGTTGACCTCCCCAAGGTCACACAGGCACAGTCTCAGAACTGTAAGAAGTCCGAGGCCTGAACACTGTGAACCCATCAGCGTGTCCTGTGTTGAAATAAAATGGTGCAACAGAAGAGGTGGTCTGCAAGGCAGTTAGAGAGGGGAGCAAGGTCTTGGCTGAGTCTCCCCCAAGGATGTCCACTCTGCAACTTAGTCATAAATACTTGCAGGGGCCAGCCTGGGGACCCAAAGAGGGTGGGCCTGAACCAAGGGGGTCATGTTCAGGCGCCGCAACAGATCAAACTGATCTGACGGATGCAAGGGCACAGAGGCGTGAGGCGGGCAATCGAGGCACTGGGAGCCGCCTGGGCGGAGAGGAGAGAAGTGCGCAGGCGCGGCAGAGCGCTCCCGGACCGGAGCCAGGGGAGAGAGCATGCGCGCCACGCTGCGCCGTTGTGTCTTAGGCGCTGCGTCCTTGATCTTGGGGTCCAGAGGAGTTGTTGAGGGATTTAAAAGCAGACTGTCAGGGTCGGATTCGTGTTTGGAAAACGGTTTTCCGATAGGAGACTGATATGAGGCCAGATTAGAGGACCAAGGATGGATAACGGCCAAAGCTTGCACCTTGGGGATGGGGAGGAAGGACCAAGAACCAAGATCTCTTCTAAAATTAGCAAGTACCAGAGTTTGACCAGGGAGGAATGGGCACTCTCATGGACTGTCTATAGAAGTCTAAAATGTATAACCATTTTAACAATATGCAGCAAGTCATTTTTTTAAAGTATACTTATTTATTTATTTATTTAAATTGTGTAATTCCACTTCTAGGAATTCATTGGGTGGTGGGGGGCGGGGGCAATAATCAAAGATGTAACCAAAGATTTACAAACAAGAATGGCTAGCTCAACATTATTAATGGTGCGAGAAAACGAAATAATCTAAATATCCAGCAGAAAGGGTGTGACCAAATACAGTATGGAACATCTATCATAAGGAATCTTATACAAGCCTCCAAAACTCTGTTTCTGAAATTGCGTTTTTAAAGTATGTGTGCATTTTCAAAAGCCTGTCCGAAAATATAGAAAAATGTCAGTGGTGTGTCTCTGGCTGATGGGATTTCACCTGATTTAAATTTTTGCTTTCTGATTTTCTATACTTTTGAAAATGTTCACAGGAAGATATATTTGGTTTTTATCTTCTAAAATAATTTTTAATATGAGTAACATGTACTTGTTGTAAAAAAAAAAAAAGATTAAGTAAAGAAGTATATTAAAGAAAAAAAATCTACATCTTACCCTAAAACCCATTCTCCAGCGATGGCCACTGTCAGGTTGGTCGATATACTTCCAATCCTTCTCCCATGTGTGTATGTCCCTGAAAACACACACACACACACACACACACACACACACACACATGCATATCTAGTCGATTTGGAGGGCTTTATTTTTCAAATAATGGAATCATACTCTGCATATTGTCCTGCAACTAGCTTTTTGAACAGTCTGTTACTGACATTTTCTATCTCAATCTGTATGGATCTCCCATGTTCTTATAATGGCTTTGTAAGACTTCAACATTTGGTTGAACCAGACTGTATGTAATCATTCCCCCATTAGTGGACATTTAGGTTGTTTCCATTTAAAAATATAAATTACAAGTGATGCTGTCATGGAAATACCCACATATGTGTGCATGTGTTATGTGTGTACTTGAAGCGCACTTAAATACCTACTTTGGATTAATGGCTAAAACTGGAATTTCTGGACCAGAGAGAATGTGCTTTCAAAATGTTCTTATATGGTACCCAAATGTCCTTCTGAAAGGCTGTCCCAGCTTATATTCACTGCAGTGAATGACGGTGCCCTTTCCTCTACATCCTTGCCAATACTGTGATACTGTTGAAGTTTTTTTTAATTTGCTCATCCCTGATGAGCATTAATGAGGATATGTTTGTTGTTTAATCGTTTATTTGATCATTGGTGAATGGTTTTTCCTTTCTTTCTTTTTTTTTTTTTTTTTTGTTTTTTTTTTTTTTGTGTATTTACCAGTTATATTTTTTTCTTTTTTTTTTTTTTTTTACTGATTTTATTTCTACTGTGAATTTACCAGTCATAATTTTGTCTATTTTTCCATTCGGTTCCTTGTATTTTCTTATGGATCTATAGAAACTCCTCATATATTTGGATATCAATCCCTGGTTAAGTGTATATGTTGTAAATATTATTTGGTGGTATTTCCTTTTCCTTTTATGACTATGGAATAAGATTTGACAGTGTCATTGATGGATGTGTCTTCAGGTTCCTTAGGTCAGTAAGATCTCCCAAATCATTCTACTTTCCCTTCAAAGGTAGTGGCTGTGGGTCTGAGCTGCTGGTCCTGGGACTCTCCCACCACAGCCTCCCCGAAACCTTCAATCTGCTTCCTGTTCCTACAAAGGACTTCTGGCGTCAGAAGTTGGACTTGGCAAAACCACCACCCAGAACAGTTGGCTACTATGCATCAAAGGACCCAGGTCAAGTGGACCCTTCTAGGTAGCATTAACTACCTGGATGTTCAATGACTCCATCCATCTGATGGGAAGGGTGCATCATGGCAGTATTTCCTCTCTGTCTTCCTTCTCCTGGGAGGGTGGGGAAGCACATGCCCATGAGGGGAGGGCCTTCATCTGCTCTGCTCTTTATTCTCTCCATGGTGCCTTTCATATCTAGGGAAAAGAAGAAATGTAAACTGTTCCCTATTGTTCCCCACTTTATAGAAGATTGTCTGCTCCCTCCATCCTCTCCTGCTGAATCATCACTGTGTGGTGACCTGGTAAACTCTGGGATCAAACGGATCACACCAGGGTTGTCCTCTGTGCACGATGGCAATGTGGCTGCACATATGGACATCAGTCCAGTGAGAGCCTCTTCAGGTGGCTCCCGGGTACACGCACATGACCCCAGGAGATCTCTAAGCTCCTGCTTTCTGATTGACAACATACTCTAGCTCATCTGTGCCTACCCACCCCGGGACCAAAATCAGTCACTGATGCCAGTTCTGGTTAGTGGGAGGTGGGATTGAAACTCTCTGAAAGAAGCAGAGCAGCAGTCACACACCAGACCCTCCCCAACATGAGACCAGACAGGGGATTGCCTGGGGCTGCTCCCAAGGTCACCGGGACACAGGCTAGCATGTCCTACAGGACCAGCCCAGATTTTACTTAGGACAGTCCCAAAGTAGGACATTCCCAGGAAGATAAAGGTGAGCCCTCTGGAGTGATGGCTGGGGACATAGGAAGTTTCCAATGGCACATAAACCCAGATCAACCTGCTTTTCCCTGCAAAAGAGGGTTTGGGAGGGAGGGGACATCCTCTGCCCTCACCTCATGGTGTCAACAAGGAACTGGGATTGTTTGAATATGCAGGGAAGGGATGTCCTATTCAATTCCATGGAACCTAACTCAAATTACACACAGGCCTTCCACAAACTATTTTAAATCCTGGGAGATAGCAGTACCAATAGCAGACCAGATACCAACTTCCTTTGGAAGAATTGCTTCCAAGGATCCTGTTGCAGAACACATGGGGTCATTGGTCCTGTCATCTGCTAGGGGTGGGGGATGTGTCCCGCCCCCCCACCACTGCTGAGCACACACCAGCCTGGAGCATTGCCCCCACTTCCTCCATCGCAGCTGCAGGTGGGGGGCTCGTGGGTGGGGCAGGGCCTCCCAGGGAGAATTTTTGTATGAGCCTGTATCACAGTGTTTGGTATTCGGCGGAGGGACCCAGCTGACCGTCCTAGGTGAGTCCCATCTTCTCCCTCCTTCCCTGCTCTCCCAGAGGTTTGGGCAATTTTCCGCTATTTTTTTTTTCTTTTCGTGTCTTGTCTCAGCCTTTGTCATGCTTTCACCCGGGATCCCAGCCTCTGGGACCCTGACCTCCTCCCCTCCCTGTAAGACTTTCCTGCTTACTTCTTTGGTCATCGCCACCCCCTCACCTACAACTTGAGAGGCAAACAATCGTTGGAATGACCTAGAAACTCCTCTATCTCTCTGCCAGGGTCGTGCTGGGTCCTAGATATGCTCTGCTCTGTCCTCTCCTCTCTGGCCTCCTGTTCTTCCATCCTTGTGTCTGGGAGGCACTTGGGTCCCCCATCAAAAAGGGAAGAGAGAATAAGGACCACTGGGGGGATGACCATTTGGCACCTTTAGAGGGACCCAGAACCCTCAGGTCCAAGGCTGGGGACACACAGGTCAGAGGTTCTGATAAGTTCCGCAGAGCTGTGAGACACGGGATCCATGGCCAGGAATGTTACAGGTGTTCAGGGCCTCACCTGGGCCTCCAGGGGCTACAATACAGAGCCCTGAACTGGCCTGGGGACTCAAGGAAGCCTGCAAGAGGGAGGACAGTGCAGAGAAGAGAAGGTGCTAGAGAAAGTATCACGCAATGATGGGATGTAACAAGGTAAACTCCTGAGTCTCTGTAAGACATATATCCTGCCACCAAGAAAGGCAGAATCTATGACATGAAGGCTCTAATGATGAGACCAATTTGGAGAAGATGGAGGGCAAGGCTGCCAAAAGACTTTGAAATACAGAGGCATTAGGACAGGCAGACAGGCTCTGTATGGTCAGCAAAGCTCCCACCCCATCCAGGATAGCCCAGGAGAGACAGATCTGAGTAAAAACAGACCCCTTAGGGCAAAGACCCTAACACCCTGAGCACAGAAGTGTTGGGCCAGAAATGTCCTCAGGATTACATAACAGGAAGTCACAGAGCTCACATCAACTCCTGGGGGACAGAGAGACAGACATAGAGCCCCATGCAGACACTGTGGGAAAGACAGAGAATGTAGGAACATGAGTGAGAGTTGGAGATCTGTGTAGGGCAAAGGTTCCAAGAGAGTCTCAGGATGGGTGGTAGCAGGTGTCCAACTCAAAGTTTCGAAACAAGGATGGGAGGTTGAGGAATAATTGATCCCACTCTCCCTGGCATGTACCTGCAACACAGAGTTAGAAACGGGGGCACTGATTGGATGCTCAGGAAACTATACCCACACAAAGGCTGATATCAAGGAACCCCATGATGGATTACCTACGTTCCATCTGACCTGCTTCCCTCCTCTGCCTCACAGGTGGGCAGAAGTCTCCTCACTCAGTCACACTCTTCCCGCCCTCCTCTGAGGAACTCCGCGCCAACAAGTCCACCCTGGTGTGCCTCATCAGTGACTTCTACCCCAGCGGCGTGACGGTGGCCTGGAAGGCAAACGGCGGCCCCATCACCCAGGGCGTGGAGACCACCAAGCCCTCCAAACAGAGCAACAACAAGTACGCGGCCAGCAGCTACCTGAGCCTGTCGCCTGACAAGTGGAAATCATACAGCAGCGTCAGCTGCCTGGTCACGCACGAGGGGAGCACCGTGGAGAAGAAGGTGGTCCCCGCAGAGTGCTCTTAGGTCCCCGACACCCTCCCCCACCCAAGGGGGCCTGGAGCCACAGGACCTCCAGGAGGACCTGCCCTCCCACCAGGGTCACCCCGGCCCTTCTTGCTGCACCCGCTCGACACTCAATAAAATGTCCTTTATTCAATCAGAAATCGTGCTCTCTGCTCATTGCGCTTCTAACACTTTGCGGCCTAAACCCAACCATCTTTGGGGGTGATCATCAAGCTTTTGCTTTCGGGGGGAATCAGTCTGAAGAAGGCATCCTCATGATTTTGGGAGGGGTAGACCTCCCAGATTCTCACCCACGATGGCCAGATAGTATTCCAGAACACAATATCCCAACGGGAGAAAAGAGATTAAAGACCATCCTTCACAATGGCTCTATGCTCTTCAATTTTTTTTTAAAGATTTCTTTATTTATTTGACAGAGACAGAGACAGCGAGAGCAGGAACACAAGCAGGGACAGAGGGAGAGGGAGAGAAGCAGGCCTCCCGCCGAGGAGGGAGCCCCATGTGGGACTCGATCCCAGGACCCTGGGATTATGGCCTGAGCCAAAGGCAGACACTGAACGACTGAGCCACCCAGGCGCCCTCTATGCTCTTTTCTTTCTTTGCACCATGCCCATTGCCATGCGCAGCTGCCCTCGCTGACCTTGGCTCCCCATGGTGTGCAGATAACTTCGGAGTGCCTCTCAGAATCTGGAAATAGCCCCTCTCATGAAATGTTCACTCCCCTATCGCTAGAGGCTCCGGTCTCAGTGCCATGATTTCCCTGAATTCCTATCCCATGTGGACCTGCCCCACCATCACACCCTAGAACACCCTCCCTTCCTTAGGAGAACCCCCTCCCCTGTTTCCCCAGGAACACTGTTGTATTCCCCTCACAGACTCTCCCGGGTACACTCACGACAGGACCTTCAGCCAGGACACGGGGCACTCCCACTCCCAATCCCACTCGCGGCCCCTCCTCCCACATTGTCTCTCGGCTCCCACTTATATTTATGTTTTCTGGGAGACAGACATCAGCTATGCTCTCTAGGACTCCTCCAAGGCCAAGCCAAACTGTGAGCCCAACACTCCTACTTGGGTGACCCACCTAGGACCTCTAGGTTAAAAATCCAGGGTCAGATTGTGGAAATGGGCTGCCACAAGGTCTCTCCAATGACTCCACGATTTAGGAGCCAAGTATGGTAGCTGAGCTAGAACACCAATGCACATACACGGGGACGAATGAACACAAACACCCATGCACACACATGATCATCGCAAAGGCACTGGCATCTTTCCAAACACTGCAATGGTGGGCATGTCTGGGGAAAGATCAGGAAAAGCCAGAGTACAGGGACGACTCAGGAACCCCAAGTGGGACCTGGGCAAAGAACACCCAGTCGCCACAGTGCCCACCAGACCCAGCCTGTGGCAGAGAGAAGGGCAGGGAGATTGCAGTCAAGGATGGAGAGAGACAAGAGACATGATGAGCTCCTGGGTTGGGAAGGCGGGGGGAAGGATCTGGACCGGAAGAGGCAGGCAGACTGGGGAGGACAGCAGCAGGGCCGACCAAGCGTGCCGCTGTGTCACAGAAAGAAGGTGGCCAGGCCTGCGTGTCCCCTGCGTGAGCTCTGCGGGTGACGTCCCCAGGTCAGGATGCAGGCCGAGTTCCTGGGGGCCAGGGCCCCCTCTCCACAAGAAGGTCCAGTGCCGGGGTTCAGTACGTGTCCTGCGTGCTAGGCGTGATTGCTGAACATGGGCCTGTGTGATCCTGAGTCAGTTCCGGTGGCCAGCACAGACTCCCACACTGGAGTTCCGGGTCAAATTGCTAGAGGCCCTGACCGCCTCCCCACCCACCAGGGGCCCGCCAGGTCTATCCAGCTGACATTGAGCCCACACACCCCTACAGGGTGACGTCTGACCTCCCCCAGCTCAGGTCGGGGACTAAACACTGACCATCCACTATAGCTTCTGGAAGATCCAGCCAAAGGCAGGGATTCAGGAGCTCAGGGCCCTCTGGAGGGATCTGAGTGCTCGGGGGGGAAACATGTTTCTCCACCCACCCACTTCCCATTCCTGACCCCAAATCTGCATGGCGTCTTGTGCTGAGGATGTGGTGGCACCCAGGACCCTCTCCACGACTCCCAGTCTGCAGAGGGGTGCCGGCTCCATCAACTCTGAGTGAAACAGGCCTGCTCCCCCCTTCCACAAAGACACCCTGACACATAGCTCCTCCCTAAGGATGGAGGTAGCTGGGAACCAATGCCATAGCCAGACCGTCCTCCAGCCCCTCGCCATGACTGAGGACAGATGGACTCTGAATTCTCCATGGACATGAAATCCCAGGTCCCCAGGTGCCAGCAGCCACCACCACCACCCCCCCACCCGCCGCCCATCTGCCGGGCCAGCACCCGTGACAAGGAGGCTGCACTGGGGGCCTCTCGAGCAGCTGCAGGTGGGCCTGGGTCAAGGCTGGAGGGGCTCACAGAGGGTTTGTGTTCGAGGCTGTGTCACAGTGTGCTGTGTTCGGCGGCGGGACCCAGCTGACCGTCCTCGGTGAGTCTCCCCCTTGCCCTCCTCTTTGGGATCCAGGGTACAGTTTGGGGAAAGCTTCTCTCCTTTCAGTGCGGACTAGGGCTCGGTCTGAAGGTCAGCGGGGTCTGTACGTTTTGCCTTCCTTGTCCGTCCCTCATGCCTCCACTGGTCCCATCTTGTCAGATGCCTGTTCCGAGCTGCTGGGGACCGGCCCCCAAACCCTCCCCGATCGACACTCGGGCCTCGTTGTGGGTCCACCTCTCTCCCCATGGGAACCTTGTCCTCTGGACTCGGGGATCCTGGGCTCCCCCCTCAGGGTCTATTGGCTTCAAGAGTCTGGGGGGAACTGACGGGTGACGGACAAGGCCAAGGGAGGCTCAGCCTGCCAGCAGGGCCATAGCAGGAGGGGAGGATGCTGGGGACCACTCAGGCGCTGGCACCTGGCTCTGGGGATCACAGCCAGAGGGCTGCCTGGAACACAGTGAGGAGAGCCCTGGTCTGGGGACCAGGAGGCAAGGACGGAGCAACAAGACAAGGGGTCAAGGACGAAGCGAGGGCTTCGGAGGAGAGGGGGCCCAGGGTGCTGGGAACACCCACCTCCACGAGGACGGTCAGGCACCAAGAACGGGACAGGTCCCAGGACACTCAGGCAGCAGAGGTCTACCCCTTCCCCTCCCACCACGGCTGGAAATTCCCTTGAGCACGTACTGGGCTTCTCGCTCCCTGAGAGGGACAGGCGACAGGGAAGGTGCCTACCCGGCACTCAGATGCTAGGACACACAGACCCCCTGGCATAACTTCCCATAACAGGGAGACCCCTTAGGGCAGACACAGCACCAGCCTCAGACCTGGACATTCACCTTGCACGGGACCCCTCATCTGCTGCACTCCCTGGAACCCGGCCCCAGGGGCTCAGAGCCCCGCCCCACCCAGCATCCCTAGTCGGGGTGGGGATCCCTGGCGATGTGGGCAGGCTGCTGGAAGGAGTGAGGCGGTCTGGGGGCAGGACCACTACTTTTCACACGGCAAGAGAGCCCTGAAACCAGGGACGGACCAGATCTAGGAAATCCCGGGTAATCCAACTGGGGGACATCACCCTGAGAATGAGGTCCAAGGACGGGCAGATTCATCAGGCAAGCAGGGTCTCAGGGCCCGTAGAGCTAGATCGGGGCGTGGACTGAGTGATTTCGAAGGTTATGTGACCTGAGGAGAGATTGAATCCGTGGAGGGGCCCAGAAACTGGAGGCTCTGGCACTCAGATTCTCCCCACAGAAGGGAAGTGACCCAACCCATGGCTGACCTGACCTCAGGGCAGCAAGGGCCACCTGAGGCCCAAGCCAGGGACATGGCACAGCCGTGCCCCTCCATCAGGACTGAGGTAGGAGCTGACAGAGTAATCCTCTGACCTTGACCTGCCGCCCCTCCCTCCCCACAGGTCAGCCCAAGTCCGCGCCCTCGGTGGCGCTCTTCCCGCCCTCCTCTGAGGAACTCCGCGCCAACAAGGCCACCCTGGTGTGCCTCATCAGTGACTTCTACCCCAGCGGCGTGACGGTGGCCTGGAAGGCAAACGGCAGCCCCGTCAACCAGGGCGTGGAGACCACCAAGCCCTCCAAACAGAGCAACAACAAGTACGCGGCCAGCAGCTACCTGAGCCTGTCGCCTGACAAGTGGAAATCATACAGCAGCGTCAGCTGCCTGGTCACGCACGAGGGGAGCACCGTGGAGAAGAAGGTGGTCCCCGCAGAGTGCTCTTAGGTCCCCGACACCCTCCCCCACCCAAGGGGGCCTGGAGCCACAGGACCTCCAGGAGGATCTGCCCTCCCACCAGGGTCACCCCGGCCCTTCTTGCTGCACCCGCTCGACACTCAATAAAATGTCCTTTATTCAATCAGAAATCGTGCTCTCTGCTCATTGCGCTTCTAACACTTTGCGGCCTAAACCCAACCGTCTTTGGGGGTGATCATCAATCTTTTGCCTTTGGGGGAAAGGAGTCTGCAAAAGGTATCCTCATAGTTTTGGGAGGGCTAGTTTTACTCTCAACCACGAAGGCCATAGAATATTCCAGAATAGGAGATCTGAACAACAGAACCAAGATAGACCATCCTCCCGAATGTCTCTTCGCTTGCCCTTCTTATGAGGACCACATCACTCACCAGCAGTACCAAAGCCCACGGCTCTTGGTTCCCCATGGACTCATGGATAATATCTGAGCTCCTCCCTGGACCTGGAGCCTCACCATCTGGTACAAGCCCCCTCAGAGATGCTCATTCTCCTATCCTTTATGCCCCCACTCATTGCCATGTTTTCTCCGGTTTCCTACCCCATATGGGCATTCCCTATCATCACAATGTAGAGCATAGGGGATCCCCTGCTCCTGCCTCCCCAGTGACACTGTCCTGTGCCCCTCCAACCGGCATCTCTGTCACACTCACTACAGGACCCTCAGTCCCTTGACCCTAGCCATTCAATCCTATACTCCCACTGAGGGCTCCTCCTCCCACATGTGTCATGGGGGTTCCAGCTGTATTCAAGGTCCTTGGGAGGCAGGGACCCTGTAGAGTCCAATCCATCACTGACCCACCACAAGCACTAACCCAAAATGTCCATGGGTAGTCACTGTCAATGTCAA